GACTGATTGGATTTAGCCGCAGCTGACCAGCCATCGGTGTGAGCTGCCGTAGTATCAATCGTGGGGAAGTATTTTCTGAAAGAGTCGAGAGTAAGAAGGCCACCAGTCACGCCTTGATCGTAACCGAAAAGCAAGAAATCCATACCAGCCAGGACACCGATAGCGACCTGAAGCTGGGTGCCATTGAGGCCGAGAAATCGTTTGGTCGGCATGTTGACGTAGCAGTCGCTCGGTTGTTCACCTCGGAGGTGCAATGGCCTTTTGCTTTATTTTTTATTCAAAAGCTCTTCCCTTGTCGAGCCAATCCAGTCGGTAATAAAGGGAAAGGAACAGAAAAGAGATTTCCTAATAGAATCAGACAACAGCCAACATCTAAGAGAAAAAAAGACAAAAAATGATCATCGAGACCGGGGCCTGGTCAGTTTTAAAAGCCCGCTGTGCATCCCCATCCATCTAGCCATTCGGGGACCGTGAGTGCGCCCCAGAACTCGGGTTCCTTTGTTTGTCTGGTCAGGAGTTCCTTTTCTTGTCAGCGGCAGGACATGATTCGAAAAAGACGCCCTGAACAGGGTCCACTTCCATCACCGATTCTCCATATTCATCGGCAGTGTGGGCCATGGTTGGCTCATACCCCAAGGTCAACTCCAGGTCTGCACAGACACTTTGCGGACGAATGTGCCAACGGCCCCCAGTATCCTGATTCATCTCTCGTGTGGTCTTCCAGGCCACGCGAAGGACCGAGTCACCAATAGGAGATAGCTATGCCGGGCAGCGGGCGATGGTTTCCGGGTTCTCCAGGTACGGTTAGCACAGTTCAAGGCTTTCCTGCCGCGTCTCCAGATAAAGCAACGCCCCCGCCGATCATTGTGGCCTCTCAGCTTTGAGCATCATGAGGCGGAGTGGAGCTTCTCCTGTTGGTTGCCTCCGCGACACCTCCGAGGGACCGACAAGGAATAGCCAAAAAATAAAATTCGATCCGCGATCTGTGGGCCTCGGGGGGGAAATTGTCACCCCAGAATCAGCACACGAGTCGTTTTGATGTAGAAAGTACTGCTGTTATGGAATATAGATTACTGTGATCACATTTCTCTTGCTGAGGCTACTATTAACTGCCACTACAGACATAGCTTATGCAAGAAAAAAAAAGATGGTCTACGTAAAACGAAAATAGGGGGCCCAGCCGAGATGTCACTGTTTGTACACAGTAGGGCCTGCGTAACTCAGATCGCCCTCCACGAATCAAATAATTCCCGAGATTAGATGCACTAAATGCCTTTAATCTCCAGAGCTCCAGAGTAATACCACTGCTAGTCAACGGGTTCAGTTCCGTTACGCCCACCGGATGAAGTCGTGAAGTCGTGAACCCGAGACGATCCAAACGCAAAATGGCGCCTTGGCGCCTAGAACGCCTCCATGAGCTTCGCATCTCTTAAGTGGTCTTGTCTACAAAACAAGCTCTCGATAAGCCATGCCCAGAGAAGGCTTCTCTTGACCTCTTGCCTTGGCCCAGTTCAACTTACCCCTGTCCAGATATGATAGTATGTGTGGTTTGAACCTTGAGAATCCGTATACACAACCAGGGGAACGGATAGCTACCGAGGATCCCGTCGGCTCCTAAACCTGCTTCCATCCGCCTGGTGGGCGGTGGCGTTCAGCCCCCTCATCGTACCATTCGCGGGTCAGGGCGCATCACATCAAGCATGGACAGGCTAGACTTCGGCCAAGAAACCCCATACATTGCAACTGCCACCCCATCGTCAAAGAGAAACAAATGTGTAGGCAAGGACTGCCTCCTGGAGCAACATAGCCTGTGTTCTCCTCAAAATAAACCGCGCTAGCATTTGCTCACAAGCCGAATGTATCCGCCGACGTCCCTGAGTGGCTAGTACTGCGTCACTTTAACCTGTGTCGCTCTCCCCGCTACGGTTACGACCGAATCCTGGGGGATAAACAAAGCGACTTACTCAAGAAGGCAGTTCCGGGCATGTCGCATGGCACACAAGTCCCTCCACTTCTGCTATCCCGCGTCGCGCCCGACCTCAGCTAGTTTCACCTGCTGTTTACCCGCATGGTAGCTTAATGCACGCCATGCGTTGACTGATCTCTAACATGCTCTCCATCTCTATTTCCCCTTTTAAATGCGATATTCTAGAATAGACCTTCCCCACGTCGCCTGATCTTTCGACCAAAGTCTGCGGCAACTCACGAGGCGCCTCCCGCCAGCCACTGAGGTCACTTAGCATAATCCAAAAATCGCGACCTCCGTGCGAAGGTTTGCTGGTCAAGCCATGGCGTGTGGATCATTGACAACCGGCCCCCCCAGGCCGCTTTGGTCTGTGCGGTGTCGCAAGGGCCAAGTCTGCGTGTTACCTGCGCAGAAATATCCCCCCATCGGAGACCTCATTTCGGTCTCGCAGGAATCAAAACTATATTCTTGATTCAATTTCCAAGTTAGTAATGATGAAAAACCATCATCGGCCTCCATATGTATAGTATTAAAAACCCCTGTCTTTGTAAATCCACCGTCCAAGGTCCACAGTAAACCACTGTTAAAATAGCTGTGAACAATACTAGTACTATATAGATCGATGTTTTCAAAAGATGATTTCGGGTATACATCATGATACAGCCTTATGCGCACTCCATATAGAGTAGATTACATATGGCGTGTTATTTTAGACGTCGCAGGACCACACGTTGGTCCATGTGTTTTCTGTTTCCTCGGAAGTCGGATGTGATGTGGGCTGCCCCCTGCGTCGACGGTGAGGTCGTAGGGTGCCCGGCTACGGCGCACCGTACATATTTTGCTTAGAACACGCATTTCTAACCCAGATCAAGATATTATTGGTTTGCAGGTGGCCTAATCTCACGGCTCTTCTCTTCTGGAAGATGAGGCTCGGTAATTCCCAGATCGACGGGGCGTTGTGCGCCCGCATCATGTCCCCTTCTGGAGCCAGCCACTTGAAGGTGCATAATCCTTTCCCTGATGCCTGGATGAGATAGTACTCATCAGATGCAGTGTCAGGATTCAGTGTTACTAAGTATACTGTATGATATGGGGCCAGCCCCCATAGGTTCGGGGCTATGTGGAGTTGAGCATGGCCTTCTGCAAGGGCGTGCGGGCGCAAAACGCTCCACTTCGCACTGCCGAGGAGTTCACCGCTTGAAGCATCGTGTTTCTAGAACACCGATCGCACAGCTCACCAAAATTAATTGGGCTTCCTGAGATTCGACTTGGCATTATATAAACCGGGCGTTCGATGGGAGGCACAACGGCCTGAGCAGACCGATAGGACTTAGGTGCCATCCGTCGATGATTTCATGGAAGTCTACAAGCACTTATAAATTTGAAAATTGCCAAGTCAGGCCCATTCGAAAGGATTTAATGATAGTGGATAATAATTCCCATAGGTACTCATACTACCTAGGTCCCTTGAGAATGCTCATCGAATTTTTATATCTAGTTATTCTATTGAAAGCCTCATCCCGACACATAAGTGCCCCTTACGAGCTACGAGAAATCAGGGAACTGTTCCAAAGATTGCCCCAAGTGGGTCGGTCAAGATCAGAAGATGTCGGCCAGCCCGGGGATGCACATCCGACAACCTTGACCCAGGATTCTCAAGCAACATTCCAAGGCAACACGCTCATCCATGTCGTCGGGACCCCTTTTGAATCGCTCCGTCTGAGCGCTCGAATTTAAACTCTATAGCCTCACCCCTTTCCTTTCCTTCCTCTTCCAGTAGAGCTGGCAAACGTAGCACAAAGTCCAACGGCTTAAGGTACCGCGAGCCGTTACCGGGATAACAGTCCTGATAATTGTAAGACCCGATTCGATCAGATAAAATTTCGTGTAGGGCGACACATTTCGTAGTCAAGTAGTGACAAGCTTTACAGGGATACCGACAGAGCTCATGGGGGCCTTAAATATCGTGAGACTATCAGAAAGCCTTTGAATTCTCTACGGAAAGATTGATCGGTTTCCATCTGCGACGGTGTGCGTGAATGTTTTTCGTTCCTAGACCAGGTTGATTTAAATGAAATACTAGGCAATCGAGGCTAGGTGACAAAATTTAGTCACTGCTATGTTGCATGGTATAGGGTAACACAACCAATGGTCGAGCTCGCCTCATATCGAGACAGCGGAGATGCCATTCGATTATTTCAACCTCTAGGAACCGAGCTTCACGGGAGATGATAAGGGGCAAGATCTCAAGTCTGTTCGATTCTCAATTCCCCCTCGCGCCTCATAGCCCTTGATGAGTTCTGATTTCTAAAAAAATCAGGATAATAGAGCTCGTTAATACTTGAAAGTCCAAAAAGCCATAGAATTTTAAAATCTTTGTAGGTGCGTTGTGTGCTATATGCCAGGATACTGGTACTGATGCAAGTAGTATTATTCAACGTCGTCATATGACATGACGTGGGTTCTATCCACGGAGTAATTTGTTTCTAAATAAATCTCCGTAAAGACATAAATTAAATTTAAGCGAGCACATAAACCAGTGAATAAGCGAACCGGCACCGGGTGGAATGAAGGGATGACTCGCGACAACGCGGACATGTTCAACTGATAAGAGCTCAAAACCCTCACTCTCCTACCAGAGGAAATGACCACAGGTTTAAATGAAAATGAATCTTGAATCGGGAATGAACCAAATCAATACTAGTATGAACAGAATAGCAAAAGCAACAGGTCATGCTATAGTGGGCTTCCTAGTCCATAAAAACTCCGCATGCCAAACATTCAACAAAGGAATGCTTAGGAGCTTTAACACGTACGAAGTTGATCACACAAGGCATCCCTTGTTAAGATATGGTTGCAGTTAATTTTAAGGTTGCATTATCGCTACATGGAAACGGACATCCACGTCCATGGTCAAGCTTAGCATTCTACTCTCCGCAACATACTCTTCGAGAATTGCCTCCGGATGTGCCGATTATCTTGACAAAAAGGGGTTTCAGTCTAATCGGAGACTAGGAAATCTTGCACCTGGTTAATGGCAGCCAGTTCGGAAATGAAAGGTTGCCAAGATGGCTTTATGGAGTCTCGAGATGATATTCCGTTGAAAGAGTCCGGAAGCGATGGTGTTCTTGATGAGCAGAAGGTGGAATACCCATCGCCGACCAAGCTAGCGCCTATAATTCTAGGTTTATGCTTTCAATCATTTTGCATTGCTCTGGTAAGCTTGCCACCAGGTTACACCAATTATGGAACTTGAAGCTGATAAATGTCGGAAATAGGACAATACAATCCTGTCAACCGCGATCCCCAAAATCACAGAAGAATTCAATTCTCTCGAAGACCTTGCCTGGTATGCGAGCGCATATCTGTTGACGACTTGTGCAGTAACCCTCCCTTTCGGCAAAATATACACCTACTATTCAACGAAATGGACATACATCATCGCTCTTGGGTTATTTGAGTTGGGATCTTTGATATGCGCAGTGACACCGACGTCGAAAGGCCTGATCCTTGGAAGAGCTATTGCGGGAGTTGGGTCAGGTGGACTTTCTCCGGGCGCTCTCCTTGTCCTCGCAAATAGCTTGCCTTTGCATCGCCGTGCTCTATATTTTGGAATAATTGGTAGCACCAGCGGTATCGCGACCGTGACTGGTCCATTGTGAGAAAATCATCAAAGCAAAAACTCCTCAGACTTTTGACTAACATCTGGACAGGCTTGGCGGACTGCTAACTGACCATGTCAGCTGGCGATGGTGCTTCTATATCAATCTCCCTCTTGGAATACTCACCGGATTATTTATAATATTGTTCTTCAAAGACTCAAATAACACCCAAAGAAAGCGCGAGCCTGGGAAAATAAACCAAGTCAAAAGAATGGACCCTTGGGGAATTCTCGTTTTCATACCAGCTATCATATCGATATTGCTCGCCATGCAATGGGGAGGGACGAAGTACGAATGGAAGGACCCGCGGATCATCATTCTGTTTGTGATATTTGGGGTTTTTGGCTCCGTATGGTGTCTGATTCAATTTTGGAAGCAAGAAGAGGCCACGGTTCCTCTCCGTTTGCTGAAGAATCGCAATGTTCTTGGCGCCGTCATCCATGCGATGTTTCTGGGAGGCTCGTTCTTTGTATTTGGATACTATGTGAGTTAAAGTGTCGAATACTGTTATGTGACCAAAAATCTAACCGATTCAGCTCCCCATTTGGTTTCAAGCAATTGAAGGAGAATCAGCATCAGAATCCGGAATCAATAACCTCCCCATGGTGGTATCGATGATAGTATGTTCAGCGATTGGAGGATTGCTGGTCAATCTTCTCGGGTATTATACACCTCTCATGTTTCTCGGAAGCGCACTCCTCACAATCGGGTCGGGACTATGTACGACATTCCAAGTTCAGACATCACACGAAAAATGGATTGGCTACCAGATTATTATAGGGATCGGAGCTGGGGTAGGATTTCAACAATGCATTAATGCTTTGCAGACGGTCCTGCCATTGCATGACATACCGATTGGAATCGCAATCATTACTTTCTCGCAAAGCCTGAGTGGTGCACTCTTCATCTCAATCGCCCAAAATGTCTTTCAAAACCGACTAGTGGCAAGTCTCCTCGAAAATGCCCCCATGGTTAACCCTATTTCTGTCATCCGATCCGGAGCCGCAAATTTGTCACATCGGCTTCCCAAGGAGGCTCTTCCCTCGGTTCTTTTCGCATACAATATCGCTGTGACGCAGACATTTTACGTTTGTGTAGCAACAGCAGCTCTTTCATTCTTTGGGGCGTTATTGGTGGAATGGAAATCCATGAAGCGTCAGAAAATCAACTCGGAGTCTGAACAATGAGGCAATCATTCAATATTGCAGTCTCGAAACTCCAGTTATCGATGCTGAGACTTGACCAACATCTTCACCCACATGTATCGGCTATTTTTATTGTGAATAATTATCAGCTTCATAATTAAAATCAATCAACTTCAAATAACGCATTATTTTGACAAATGACGTTCTAGTATATCATTAAGAGCACTACTGGGATCATATCCCCTGGTTTGCAACATATGATCAGATAGTATAGCAAGTTATTACATCATGCAACAAGACTCAGGGCTTGAATTGCCGTCAGAAACTTGAACATTAGCTGTAAGCTTCCGAGGGCTGTCCGGAGAGCCGAGATTACTAGTCCCCTCTGCTCCCGCCATATTTTGATAACTGCCAAATTGTCTCCTCAGCCACATGGCACGCTCCTTCCAGTTGATTTCCTTGAAATCAGATTGGTAATCGGCCAAAATGGAGTCAATGCGATCCAGCTGATAGGCGTCTTCTGCTGCAGCCCAAGCAACGACGAGACACAATGCGATATAAGCGGCACCAAGTGGTCGATAGCAAGAGGCAAGCTCGGCTTCAAGAACGATCTCATCGCAGAAGAAAGCCGCTTCGGCAGATAACATGAGGTTGTCCGGATGGAATACACGGAGGAGCGTATTCAACATAAGACCCAAGGTGATCAAGGTAGCGTATCCGGCTTGGTACCGCGAGCGTTGCATCACTACAAGGGAAGACATAACTGTATATCCCGAGACAGGCCAATTATCAAGGTATTCGCGCATTCTTTGGGAGTCATTTCGAATCCGCAAGTAGGCCGCCGCAATTTCAGGTAGGTCTCCCGGAGAAAGATTTCTGATCCATTCCGGAAATTTAGCGATCGTGGGAAGTTTCGTCGAAGACCTAGGTATTTCACTCCGTTGAGAAGATACCGGCGTGTTGTCGTTAAGGTCGGAAACTAATTGAAAGAACTTCGGCTCCATCTTGATTCGTGGATTGACAATAGCTTCGATTATCTGTATCGGTTAGCCATAGTACCGGTTTGGCCACCTCAACGTGGTAAAATAATAAATATGATAATTGAAACGCCAGTCCTTTTACATACCACTGGTACGGTCAATGTGATTATGATGTCTCGCTCAAAATTGCTTTTTATTTGAGTGAAATCTGCCATTCTCAATAGATGAGCAATGGCTTCCCCATGGCTGGCCAGTTGATCGTCATATTTCCCAAGCCAGCTCTGTAAACTAAATTAGCATTGACTGTGCCTCAAGATAGATGGGAAATTTTAGAATTTCAATATACCTGGCAAATAGTGATGAGATAAACCGCACACAGGGTATTAACCGATCGAGCTTCAATGTCATCATCCAGAGTATCTCTCAGGGAGCGGAGAGATCGTCCATAGTGCATAAGCACTTCTGGCGGGAAATCTCTACTGTGAAAGTATGGATAGGCAGTGACCAATGCTTTGACAGCGGCATCAAGGGCGGCACTGCTCCCCAGACGTCTCGGAATATCCTTCAAGAAGTAGCCGTAATACTCCAGTGCGTATCGAATATCGGTTATTTTGAGTGTTCCAATGAGAGATGAAGCTAGCTCGCTATCGGGAATATGCATCGTGATTTGGAAACTGGCTGCGGCTCTAACTGAAGGTACAACGACCCGACGCTTCCCGACAGCCGTTTGGCCAGTGGTTGATTTGGAATCGGCATGCTTGAACTTAAATCGCTGTTTGCCACTGCCGACACAAATTATCTGCAGCCGACGGCATCGAGAGCAAGGCTGAAGCTCATCGCACTGGTCTGTGCATCAGCTTGGGCTTCCAATAGTAAAGCCATTGACTAGGTCTTATGTCACCTTCTTCTTGATTTTGCGACAGGCGTCGCATCCCTTACTAGATGGGACACCGGGCATTTTTTTTTCTTGAAATCTGGGGTGTCCGGGCGCAACGTTTTACGCGAAAGGGAAGAAATGAAAGAGAGAAAAAAATGGATACGATATTGATCAGCAGTGGCGGCTTTGCAGTGACTATAATCCTTCAAGACGCGTCCACGGCACCCTTGGATAATTTTAAAGGGAATAAGTATGACAATGACGCAATATTAATAGACATTATAAGGCAGATTTGACAGCGTAGAAGCCAAGCCTAGCTGTAGAAACATAGCTGGCTGACAGGTGAAGTTGAGAGAGCTGAAGCTTGGCGGTAGAAACGGCCCCAAAATGTCTTCCAATCATAAACCGCCAATGGAGGCATCGTAGCGACAACCAATGAGCACTTCCCGCGTTTCAAGGCATCTCCCCACCCGGCGCGACATGTATCTCCTTTGGGAAGATCCAAGCCTCAGCTTTCAGGCTTCCAAAATAGAGCCAAGCCTGGCGCAGCCATACATGTGACAAACCGGCCCCAAAATGGGGTATCCTCAGATCAGATAGAAAGCTGTGCGGTAGAACTCAAAAGCAATAAGCTTACCAGTCGCAACCCTCATTTTTTATTCACTCATTCAGTAAATCCTTGGATGAACCCTTTTTTCTTAATTTCTCTTCCGACATGACAACTTTCGTTTCTTTTATAATTCGACCGGCTAAGTGGGATTCAAGTAGGACTTTGGTCCACCCGGCAGGATATCCCATCGAAGCACCACCGATATTTTCAATCACAACATCTAAAGAACGGAAACCTAATGTTGTTGCTTTTTCAGGCTGGGGAGCCGGCCCTTTTGACATTATTGGCGATGGAAATTTTCCAAAATCATTCCATTCTACATGCCACTTAACGCTCCGCGGACAGCCTCTAGAGATGCGCCTGAGCCAATCAGGATCTGGGGAATGCAAATTCGAGCACCCAACGATGGGTCAGATGAAATGGAAGCCAGACATGTTTTCGTCAAGTAAGATGGAACTTCGTGACGGTTCAGGCAGGCGAGTTGCAACGTTCGGCAAGGGAAAGTCGGGCGAAAAGACGCTGGAAATTATTCAAGGCGACCCATACTTCATGGAATTAGTACTCATCTCCGGAATTACGGCGATAAACCTCAACAAAGGGATGACCGAAGTGGTCGGAGAATTATTGGGCGGTGTTCTAGGAGCATAACTGATGCCCTAGACTTGACTAGACAGACGCTTGCGTTCAGCTTTAGCATGGAGGGAGCCTGGGAGAGTGTGATATCACTTTTGATTTTTTGCCCGCAAATCCATTATTTGGCTTACCTATAGCTCATTTTGTCTTACTATTGAGATCTAAAAAATTGTACTAGTATTAGTGATCTTATCTGGATACCAGTAATATATCTGCAATTATTCGGTACTTTGGAGTAGAAACAATACACGGGTAACTTAGGGGCGTGTCCATAAGCTTGAGCATCATTACAGAACAAATTAAGACATGTCTTGATTGGATCCAATTTACGATTTATCTCTTCCATCAATTCCCTCTGAGTTCTATCCTATGGTAATCAAGTCGTCATCAATCGTAAGTGTGCGTTGAATGCCCATTCCGGGCCTCCAAATCACAGATCCTGCTTCTCGCTTTTTCGTTGGAGAGCACTGAATATACCATTCTTGCCTGGTGCTCGGTGTTTGAAATCCTCCTCGATCTCATTGAAAGATCGACCCTTGGTTTCAATCATAAATATGGCAGCGACAGCTGCGCCAATGACGGAACATCCTCCAAACATGAAGTAGGCACCACAGTTGCTTTTGGATAATAGGACAGGAGTGACCAAAGCAACCAAGAAGTTGAATATCCAGTTGCTTGAATGAGCTAGTGTTGTAGCGGAGGCACGGGTTCGCTGAGGCTGTATCTCAGCACTGTAGACCTTGACCGAAACTGCCCAAGTCAAGGAATATATGACTGCGAAAATGTAGATGCAAACGATAACAACCCAGCGTCCTGCACCAAAGGTAGCATGAACAGCATTCCCAGCGTACAGACCGCCAATAAGAAACATAACGAGAGCAAGCCCAAAGCCACCATAGATGATACTGTGTCGCCTTCCCCATTTGTCACAGTAGATCAAACCAGGGATAGTGACGGCGAAGATGACCAGTGCCGAGACACCAGACGCGAGAAAACTAGCTTCGGAGGATTCAAGGCCAGCCTGCTGGAAGAGAAGAGGGGCGTACTGAACGTAAAGTTAGCATGGGATGAAATAGTAGGCAGAGAAAGCCTTCGAGTTTCAACCTACATATAAGACACCATCAATGCCGCTGAGCTGCTGAACGCCCATTAGGAAGACTGCAAGGGCAGTGCGACCCCGGACATCTTTCTGAAAAATCTCGAATAATTGATGAGTTTCCTTGTTGTCTGTTTGATCGTTTTCAGCCGGAACTTCTTCCACTGCAACTTGAAGTTCAACTTTCTCACGCTCCGCATGAGAAACACCAAGCATATTCCACACCGCATCTGCCTCTTCCTGGTGACCATGAAGAGTTAGCCATCGAGGAGATGGCGGGAGAAACATAAGGGAACAAGCCGATAGAATCATAGATAGAGATGCAAGGATGATCCACGGGGTTCTCCACGAGAGCGATGATGCGATATTTGATGTTCCGTAACAAGTGAAGTATCCCGTAACAAGGCCCAAAGTAATAAGCAGCTGGGGACCTGTCGTCAAAGGCCCTCTAGTGCTAGTAGGCGAAATCTCACAGATGTAAACAACCAAGTTACCAAGGAAAAGTCCTTCTCCCAGTCCCTCAATCACACGGCCACCTATGAACATGCCCAACGACGTGGCCGCAGCTTCGATGGCTGCTCCGACGCCAAAAATGAAAACGCCAATACTGATGCCTTTGGGGCGACCAAGTTTATCGGCAAGATACCCGGCGAAAAATGAAGACAGAGCCGCAGGAATTAGAATGGACGAGACGATAAGACCATGAATTGTCGCATTTTGACTACCTCCAAACTGAGATTTGAAATCTTTCATATCGGTTACTGGGCCGATCACACCAGTATCCATGCCGAAAAGGAGTCCATTGGCTGAGCAAAGCATGCACGCCAGGATATATGGAGGCGGCATTCGCAAGTAAGGGATAAACCCCATTATTAGGGCTGTGAAAGGTGCCAAGCCTTTCCGTAAAAAGATTTTTTGAAGTCGTGTTTCTGCGAAACAAGTCGTGAAAAAGTGCCGATGAAACGGTCAGATAATCAGTTCAGATGGGAGGTCTGACGATGAACGTCTCGAAATGAAATAGAAAGAGAGAAGAAAACGGTGAATGTGGTGGGCTTGAACGAATTTTTCATCGCCTAATCATTTTCCCCTCCATCCCACACCCCACGGGCTGATAGATGTTGTCCACTGCTCCACTCAACCCGCAGCAAAGTGGATGCCATAAAGATAACGAAACAGGAAGGATTTACCGCAGGTGAGATTCTGGACTGGTTCGAAGGCGATAATTCTCGATGGCGCCACTCACATCAATAAGCACTATTATATCGTGAGCGGTACCAATCTCGTTTGAGTAGCAGATAAAATTCCGAGGCGAGATCAAGGTGTAGTAATGCCAAGATGATAAGGGTAAATTCACCGGTCGCAGTGCCTAGGTATGCCAACGTTTAAAGTACATACATGCTGCATGTACACCCAAGGAAAGATGGGCATTGTTGCTTTACCTTGGCCCAACCAGAATTTTGGTTGGTATTTTCTCTGGTTTACTTAGACGGCTATGTGCGGGCAGCTTGCGACTAAAGATTTCGATACAATACTCCGATCCGGATTTTCTTTGGAAAAGGAAAAAAAACCTCCATCGATATGAAGACGCTCACTGACTCACCCCCTAGGGCGTTTTTTTAAGAGTGTGGGGTTTCGAGAACCATCACTGATGGTAATTGTGCTCTTCAGTGACTTGATACTATTGAAGAATGTTGGAAGTCATCACTTTGAAATTCTTCATATCTAAACTTGACAGGCTGTTGAGGGCTGGTGCCTAGGTACCGGCTCCTCAGGCGTCCAGGCCGCCCCTGCCTTAGATAGCTTCGTCTCTCTCTCTCCGCTTCATATCATCACCAGTTTCGTACATCTGCTTCGTCCTCCTAGTAGTGTGCTGTTGACACAGAGTAGCTAAAACTATCTTCATTTATGTAATCACTCGTTCTTAGAGGACCGCAATCCCGGGAACCCGTTTGTCTTCCATCAACTAGCATCTGGATAGTTCCAATATGATCACATAGAACCATTCCGTGGCGCGATTTATGATAGTCCATCGTAAGAAGGTCGTTCATCCACTGCCCAGGTGGTTCAGGTATTCACAGAGCCACTCGGGGCGCGGCTTATATGATGAGAATGTGTTCCAAATTTCTTTTGAAGTTCTTTGGTTAGAAAAATTATGACGGTCTAACTAATGTTTGGTTGTGAAATTATCTGGCGGGAAGGTAAGATCCAGGTCTGCAGACTCAAAGTCCATCACGAGCGTATCAATCAGCATGCCTCGATCTTAAAATGTTTTGAAATCGGAGCACCCCATTTCCTGTTGATGCGGCTATTCCCCGACTGGCAAATAGCGAAAAAAAAAAAAGCTCTGCAAGGCCGCAAAGAAGGACCAGTGAAAGCCCAGCCGCCCACCGCAGCCAAGTTGGCTACGAACAGTGCGTCCGTCATTTACGGGGCCCCAGAGTTGCACGTTTGCATAGAGGGTCGATATGTGGGTTTCAAGAAATGGCCCAGGCTGCCAAGTCAGGAAAAGGTCCACCTCATCCTTGACGGAAATACAAACAATGTAGTCTAGCGTTTTGCAACTATAGACAGCGCGAGTCTCCGCCGAAATTTGATGCTTGGTCAGAAGAAGCAGAGGCAGGCACTTTGAAAAGCTGGCCGTGTCATTCTGAGTGTAAAGTCCGGCCCCACCGTGAACGCATGCCGAATCATGAAATGGCTTTCCACTTAGTTCAAGAGTATTCGAAGGCGGGTTATTGGGAGCATAGAGCACGTGTTCCCGAGGTCGATGGTGAGGTCTCGAAGCTCGAGCGGGATATTCAGAAACCGAGACATGGATCTTTCCAATAATTTAGATGGATGAATGAATTAAAGATCAAAATAATACTAAGTGTTGAAAGGTAAGTGAGGATAGGAAGTCCGCGACTGACTCAGGCTCTCCATATATAGATTTGGCTCCATGCATTTGTTTGGCCCCATCGCTTTCAACTTGAGGTCAAGACTGCCAGTCACCTGGGCATTCATTACCAGTAGGTATTCATTCAAGTTATCTGCCCACGCGGTAGTACGAAAGGCAATTTTGTGACAATGATTTGGCTTTGTGACCATTGAAAGAATTCTTAGGATCAACTGACAGAAGCTAGGAAATAGATAGTGACTGTTCATGCGAATGATGAGATGGCTAGGAGCGAAGAGGGCGCAGTTGAGGAAGGCAATATTGGTGCCTGAGGCATAAATGGCCAACACTAAGCTTCGTTGGCAAATGTGTTGTAATGCAGGTGGTCCTTTCGGTGTTCTGCCTATACGAATAGATTGATGGTCCATGTGACCGCGACTAATCTATTGAGAGATACGGAGTAGAAAGTGGCCTGAGGTCTGTTGAGGACTGGTGCCTAGGCACCCATCCTCAGGCATTCCAGGGCGCGTGCCTGCCTTCTGATGGCTTCTCTCTCTCTCCCATCCATATCATCATCTCCTCCTCGTCTACTCCGTAGTTCCTGCTAGTATTGTGCCTCCGACAAGGTCAAATAATGTGCCCTTTGCATACCATTTGTTGCGGAGAACGTACCCACAGGGCGCGAAGTAAAGAAATATCACAATTGGTCAATATGCGGTATGAGGCACCACGTGCTGTCAGCCATGATTTAGTTGGGCTCATAGTTTTGCTGCGAAAGTACCATATGGGGGCCATTACCAGCAAATACCGAGAAGCTGACAGGGAATCATCCCTCCTTCCGCCCCGCCCCCTTTAACCAAAACATCGCCAAAGCGGCGTTCTCTGCCGGCTGAGATCATCACGAACTTGAAAGCAACATAGCTCTTCGAAAATTCTCACTGGACGATATACTATGCCGAGATTCTCACAAACCATTATCTGCATTAATCCGCGCCAATGCGGTTGTTACGTAGTAGTAACACCGTCTGTACATGTGCACAGAGGACGGAGCATTGGATAATAGAATGGGATTTTATGTAGTGGGGCATAGCTAACGGGAAATTGCATTAAACGTATTACTGGCGCCGCAATGGGCGTCATAGCTGGGCCCAGGATAAAGGGGAGCACGGACTATCAGCCCTTCCCCAGGCGACCTGGTCCCTTACCTGGACTCCAGCAATTCTGACAGTTTACCCTGAATAACAAAACTCCTAGATGTAACCGGCTTTCTTCGCTTCTCAGACTTTTGCACACATATTTGGGTAGTTTCAGGATGCTAGGCATCGGGTGTTCAGTCTTTGAAAGTCAATACCCACTATCATTTTTGAAATGCCCCGTTTCTGCAAGTTTCCCAGCCTCAAGCATAACATAGCGCCAATCAGTGGAATATGAAATTGGCCCCCATCTGGCAAATTAGGGGCCCCGGAAGGTAACACTCCAGGGCTTCGCCGGTGAGTCTCCAAATACTTTCACTCTCCTCGCTCAACGTGTCTGACTGGGATTTCGCAGTGCATCATCACGGCAGAATGCAGCCATCTCATTCTCTTTTAATGATTTTTGAGCTACTGTCGCTCGCCTCAGTGGGTGCGGGCTATGGCTGCTTCTCGCCCAACGGCACCCAGTCTCCCGATAATGGAAGGAAATGTGTTTCTTTGGATAACACGGCGAGCATGTGCTGTGGTCAGACTGACCTTTGCCTCCCCAATGGCCTCTGCGAAGTTCAAGTCGATCAGAGTGAGAGCATCTACTACCGCGATACGTGCTCTACGCCATCATGGCCTGAATCGGGTTGTTTGAAAGTTTGTGATGTGAGTAGTATACTAATATTCTTCTGAACGCCCTTGATATTGAACAATCTAACAAGCAAATTTATTTCCAGAGCGAGAGCATCGTCGACATCCATGGGAACTCTCAAATAACCCCTTGCGGTGGCTCGAAAAACGCCGAAAAATGGTGCTGCGGTAATTCAACAAGTTGCTGTGGTACAGGAGACGAAGTGATTGTCCCCACAATCAACATCTACGCCGCCACGTCTACATCCACCTCCACCATTGCTTCTACCTCTACAGCCAACACAACGACCCAATCGACCTCATACTCTACCTCAACCACAGCTTCAACCTCGAATTCGACCTTAACCTCGACACCGAAGTCATCGTCGGAGCCGGATTCTCCGGGCCTTTCAATTGGCGCGAAAGCAGGCGTGGGCGTTGGAGTTTCAGCGGGCGCTATTGCATTAATCGGACTACTGGCATTTTTCCTTCGACGACGGGGAAAAAATAAGGATAATATCCCATCTGGAAACACATCCTCATCGGTATTGATGGTGTCACAAAATCCACGAGAGCTCGAGGCCCCCAACTCCTTTCATGAGAAGCCGGCTACCGACTCGGACATGCACGAATTACCCGACAACTCCGGGTCGCAATATATGACATATGGAGGGTGAAGAATCATTCTTCCCATCATTGTAACGATGTGAGATTTTCTCGTTTGATACTCAGGTTATATTGTCATTCAAAGCCCATCGGTCATTTTTATTCTCACGTTAAAAGCTCTGGTAAAGCCATGTCTCCTTCCATTTCATCATTTTCATACCACTCATTATTTATTCGCTGGGGCCACCTCCCAAGTGTGTTCTGATATGATTTTCTTTTTCCAAATGACCGTTCGTCTGGAGGCGCATCATTGACATTGTCAAGATTCCAGGGCCAGGAGAAATGCGCGCCAAAAAGTATCGGCTCTACCCAGTTCAAAGGCCGAAGTGACCACTGACATACGTTCCTCGCCACGTCCCATCTCCCCTCATTTTGTTAGATGAGAAGGCTTCGCCATGGGTTTCTATGGATGGTTTTGAAATTTCCCAAAGTACTCTCGAACCCCTAATCATGGATCACATGATAGGAATGGCCGATGGGTGACGATGGATCTACTCTCATACGACTCCGAAAATATCCGACGAGGATAGGTCTTAAGTTTTGAGCAAAGACTCCCGATGATGGAATGGAATTGCCGGGTGGGAAGATATCGTATCCCAAAGCGCCGAGTCAAAGCTGCTATTCAACTAGACCTGAGCATGTATTTTTTTACCATGACCTACTACGATGTGTTCAGGTTCGCATTTTATGTACATGTATCTACAACTGCCCAGTATTATCGACTTAGATTTGCTAAATTTCAGCTTAGGAGTTCTAAACTGTACCTTTAGTATGACTCAATCTGCTACTGGTACAGTCCCGGGCCGGTTCTTGCGAAAATTAAACCAATGAAAGTCCCCATTTAACCTCGGCTTTCAATTCTAGACAACAGCGATCCCCCGACATGGAGTCTCGAATTCTAGATAAGATTCGTCTGACCCATTGGTTCTGCATCGTATTGATATTTCGGATCAAATCGGGGGGATTAAGGTTCCTAGAAACGCGCAATTATCGCACCGGGTTGTTTTGCTGAGGCGATTACGGGAACTACAGTGCACATCATAGAACAGCCATTCTCAACGATACTATGACACATCTTCGAGGAACATTCTACATTGTGCGTTGTAGGAGGCAGAACCGTTTGAAGTATAAGAATCACTATTTCCGATCGCATTGTTTACATCTCTCGATTAAATAACACAAGTCTTCCGAAGTCCTGATCAGTTTCATTTTTTTTATTCAATTCAAGTGGCACACTCGTGGGTCTTTACCATAAATTGAACACCAAAATTACTACAATATTCAAATATGAGTCAAATAATGCGACCGCTTGGTCTCTCAATAAGAGCTCAACCAAATTCTTTATCCAGATGCAAAGGCCTGGTCATACCGACGTCCCTGAGCCTGGCAATTCGGCAACATTCTACTTCGACACATCTCGCTCAGAAGTCCTCATGGACGCATCCAAGGTTAGTCTACACTACTTGCGTGATCACTTGCTTCTCTAACTCATTTACTTTGGGCAGCTACACAAAAAAGCAAATCGTCGATGTTCAAACTGCCCATCGCAAGGCATCCAACTGGCAAGATAGAGTTGCCCTGAGTACAGTCAAGGTCCTTCGCTGGGGCATGGACTTTGTCACAGGTTACGGATCATATTCACCGATCAGCATGTCTGTCCCGAAGACTCGCACAATGACCGAACAAAAGTGGCTCACAAGATTTATCTTCCTGGAGAGCGTGGCGGGTGTTCCTGGCATGGTAGCAGGCATGCTCCGTCATCTCAAGTCTATTCGGATGATGAGGCGGGATCACGGATGGTAAGAGAGACTCCCCTTCTCAAGAAAAATTCTGTTCTAACACACTGCAGGATCGAAACACTCCTCGAGGAGGCCTATAACGAGAGAATGCACCTTCTCACGTTCCTCAAATTAGCCGAACCTACTTGGACTATGCGCTGTATGGTCCTCGGCGCCCAATGGGTATTCTTCAGTGGTTTTTCCCTCGCGTACTTGATTTCACCGCAGATCTGTCACCGATTCGTGGGATATCTCGAGGAGGAAGCCGTCATAACTTACTCGAAGGCAATCAAGGATTTCGATGATGGACATCTTCCTCTGTGGGAGAAACTTGAAGCACCAGAGATGGCAATCAAGTATTGGCAAATGCCGGAGAATAATCGCTGCATGCGGTCGCTTTTGCTCTATGTTCGAGCCGATGAGGCCAATCATCGTGATGTCAACCATACACTTGGGAACTTGAACCAAACCGACCCAAATCCCTTCGCAGCGAAACCCAAGATTGATATTGGACTGCCCACTCTCCAGCAAAATGGACAAGTGAAGAATTGAGTGATAGAGACATAATTATAGAAGGTTGTGACTGCTTTGTGTTAGACTAATTAGAACGCTCAAAAGATATATTGGATTTCCTTTGCCACCTGCTTCAGGTTTTTAGGTTTCGAAATTATGGGTGAGCTGATCGATGATGGTATTGAAATCGTGAATGCAGGATATTTTGAGTGTGCTCAAGCTGCGGAGGGCTCATCGCTTGGACACTAATATCGAACATGAACACAATCCAGGCTCTTTGGCCTCCGGGACAACTGTTTGTGTATGTGAAAAACAAGGGTGAATGATTATCTGGTCTATTACCTGGGTTGTATTGAAGATTCATTTCTGATAATATTGTTCCAAGCTTGAAGCAGTCCAGAATAATATACATAAATATGGTCAACAAAGGCCAATATATGAGTAAATCATGTGACTAAATTAATTTGAATTCACTGAAAACAGCTCACAATCAATTATTCCTAGTGAGGTGCTTCTTCTCAAGCGACGACAGGCAACATTACCCTCGGGAAAACCAGCAACGAGATGGCGAACAAAGGGGACGTGGTGGGTTATGCCCTATGAGAAGCAGTGTTAGACATCACATAGCATGGCAGATGAAAAAACAAAAAAGAATCCATATCGGAAATTTCCGGACATACTTTCCTGATACCCGTCCTCTTTATTCTCTTGTAATTCAGCTCATCCAACCAATGGAAGTGTCTCGGAATCTCTCGGAGGTCAACAAAGGAGATAGAATCCATGGGTGTGGAGTTTGTGGTTTTTGGACCTCAAAGACTTGAAAATCAAGATCGGAAATTGAAGCTGTGGGTGTGAGAACTCGCAAATTCTCAATGTAAATGGTAGAAATTGAACATAGCCTTCTGGACAGCCTTCAATTTGTATTCGATTCGATTTGATGTTTGTGTTCCGAACACTGGGCTGCTCAAAGGCAAACATTATGGAAAGCGGAGCAGATTGTCTGAGAGAGTGTTCTTTACCACCGAACAATAGTCTCAAACTTAAGAACTTGTTCAGGTAGACATTCAGGACACCGTTGAAGCGCAGACTGGAGGTGATGGAGCTGACAACCTGAGCAATGAGGCAGTTCAGGTGGTCGAAGCTGGGGCGGGGGATATCCAGATTGTGACAGCAGATATCACACGGCCTCATTGTCGACCAGAAAGTACAGTCGAAGTTGTCAATGGTGCTATGGGTGGAGAGAACAGCGTTGTAAGGCTCGACGACAGCAGGAGAAACACGGGGCGAGGGGTGGATGCAGAACTCGAGCTTAGACTTCTTGTTGATATTTGGATGGGATGCAGGGAATATCTTTCAAGGTAGCGCTCCTTGTAGTCGGTAGCTTGATGTAAATATCCTTGGAAAGTTCTATTTCAACACCTGCCGTCCTAAGATGCAATACTGTTGTGAGGCTATTTTGATACTGGAATGCCTCAGGCAGCCACCAATGCCTTCCTCCGTTGTTGCCTCTCACTCTGTACACCTCTCTTCACATCCTATCGCCACTTTCAAGGTGAACTTTGCTCATGCGAAAGCACAGAACGCCAGAAAAGATAATATTCGCAAACTCGGTCCGAAGATTCCTTCGCGCAGCCCGAGTTCCAAACATCGAACCCAGCGGCACTGCTAGTCCTACATCCACCTCTCTCGATTCGGTTCCACCAGCACTCCCCAATAACTCGGATTCTCCCTCTAATTCACCAAATATCGTGATTTCAACTCTCCAAGACTGAGCTTTGATGGTTCCTAACTCTGGGGTTACTAGTTGACATTCCTGCCTCCCGTCAAAATGTCTCCACGCCGAGAACCCAAAAGCTCGACCCCAATACCCAAGAGCAATAGCCACCGTCCAGAAACCAGCACCCCAACGAGAAAGACCCCTCCTCCCAAACCCGCAAAGAGGAAATGCCCAGCAAAACAGACATATCGAAGCAAGAAACGCACTTTGGCAGCCAGTGTCGATCCACTACAACTCGCAATCAACCGCTCCATACATGTCGTGTTTGTACAAGAAACAGTCTCCGCCCTCAAGCGAGTGCTAGCCGAATTACAACAATTGCAAGGCGTGTACGGCCAATTTATCGATGCAGCGCAGTATCTCGAGGACAATTTTAGTGCACGGTGTGGTGAGGTGGATGCCGAGAATGCCTTTTCCGACGAACTTGAGATACTGGCGCGTAGGGCGAAGAAAACATCGGGCGACGTGCTTCGGTTGCTTGGAAGACAAGAGATTGCGATGGAGGTGGAGAGATGCATGCTTAGTATCGCTGAGAAGGAGCTTGAAAGTGGTCTTTAGGGGTGGAGGGTTTCGATCGAATGTATCGGGGTTGCTGAGATTAAGTTCATCTATGGGAGATCTTCAGCGGGGTAAAAATAAGGTTAAATATCGGACTAAATGAATTGAATTCGCCGAGCCCATTGTTGCCTCACTATTACTAGCACGGAGGACTACTAGTAGAGGTACTGGGTACTTGAGTTCTCAAACTTTGTAAGTACTCTAGTATCATGATACTAACCTTGGGAATAAAATACGATCTACTAGTACGTGAACAAAGATCATTGAGTAACGTTGTATAAATATAAGTAATGACGTTAAATATAACGATATCATTAGGCGCATTAGTTCATATCGAATTTCCAATCATCGGGATGCACATGATGGTCATTTAAAACAAAAAAGAAACGTCTAACATCACTACAGCGAGTTCAACAGACCCTCAATCAGAGGAAGGAATGATGAAACATCAGCAATGATGTCAGTGGTATTCTTGACGAACGACTTGCTCAGAAGATCCGCGCCGTTACCCAGGAGAGTCTCAATCTTCTTGATGCTCTCGGGCTTCAGCAGGCTCTGGATCTCTGGCATCGAGTCCTCAAGGTTACCCAGGAGACCCTTCAGGCTCTTGACCATCTCGGGGGTGAGCAGCTCTCCAGCCTCGGTGATGAGGTCGCTAGTGTCAGCGACGAACGTCGGGGTCAGGAGGGTGGTGCCGTTGCCCAGGAGGTAGGTCAAGTTGTTGAGGGTAGTCTCGTTCAGGAAGTCCTTCTTGATAGTGGGGACGACGGGAACAAGACCGTTAAGCAGCTCGTGGAGACCACCCAGAACGTACGGCGAGAGCAAGTCGTCGGCGCCGTCGATCAGGTGGCGGGTCTCGTTCACGAAGGTGGCGTCGAGGAGGTCGTTGGCGTTCATCAGCAGGCTGCTGATGGCCGAGATGGTAGATGGCTTGAGCAGCTTCTTCAGCTCGGGCAGCAGAGGAGTAACCTCGCCGAGGATCTCCTTGAGACCGGAGACCAGGTCGGGGGTCAGAAGCTCGTCGGCGTTTCCAACCAGAGACTTGGTCTCGTTGACGAAGCTGGCAGTCAGCAGGTCGTTGCCGTTGTTCAGCAGAGTGGACAGCTCGTTGAAGGTCTCCTTGGTCAGGAAGCCCTTCAGGGTTGGAACCAGCGGCACAACAGCGTCGAGCAGGGTGGTAAGAGCATCGGTAGTCTTCTTGGTCAGGAGACCAGAAGCACCAGCAATGAGGCTCTTGGTTTCCTTGACGAAGTCGTCGGTGAGCAGGCTGTTTCCGTGAGACAGCAGCGACTGGAGCTCGTCCAGAGTCTGCTGGGTGAGCAGCTTCTTCAGCGTAGGTAGCAGAGGAGTGACCTGGTTCAAGAGGTCCTTGAGAGCCTTGCTGGTAGCCGGGGTAAGAAGATCCGAAGCAGCATCGATGAGAGAGTTGGTCTTCTTGATAAAAGCGGTGGTAAGCAGCTGGTTGGCGTTGCCCAGAAGGTTCGAAATCTCGTTCAGGGTCTGAGTGGTCAGGAGCTTCTTCAGCTGGGGCAGCAGAGGAGTGACCTGGTTCAGGAGCTCCTTGAGAGCATTGCTGGTGGCGGGAGTAAGAAGATCCGAAGCAGCATCGATAAGAGAGTTGGTCTTCTTGATGAAAGAATCGGTAAGCAGCTTGTTTCCGCTGGACAGGAGATTTTGGATCTCGTTCAGGGTCTCGGTAGTCAAGAGCTTCTTGATCTCGGGCAGCAGCGGGGTGACCTGGTTCAGGAGATCCTTGAGGGCCTTGCTGGTAGCCGGGGTGAGAAGATCCGAAGCGGCATCGATAAGCGAGTTGGTCTTGTTGATGAAAGACTCGGTGAGCAACTTGCCACCGTTGGTCAACAGAGTGTTGATCTTGCTGAAAGTGGCGGGGGTCAAGAAGCTCTTGAGCTGAGGCAGAATGTCGACAACACCACTGAGGAGAGTCTCCAGGGCATTGACAGTCTTGTCAGTGAGAAGCTTGGAGGCCTTGCTGAGAAGACCCTCAATGTTGTTGACATTCTCCTTGCTGAGCAGGCTGTCGGCATTGACAACCAGGTCGTTAACCTTGTCAATGTTGTTGAGCAGCTTCTGGAGGTTGTTGAGGTTGTTATCAGACAGCAGGTTGTCGGCCTTGCTAAGAATGCTGGACAGAGTCGCGGTGTTCTTGTCGTTCAGCAGCTTGCCGGCGTTTCCGATCAGCGTACCCAGTGCCTGGGTGTTGTCATTGGACAGAAGAACCCGAATGTTGGTGTCAACAGGGGGAGCCAATGAGGTGGAGAGATACTTGAAGGTATCCTCGATCTCACTCAACAGGTTAGGGTTGAGCAGACCCGTAATGCCCTTCAGAAGGCTCTCGAGATCATCACCGAGCGAGGTGAGACCAGAGAGAGCGCCACCGCTTCCAGTGAGACCACTGAGAAGAGACTCGAGGCCATTGGTGGAGCTGGAGGTGCTGCTGGATGTGTCAGACTTGGTAGAGGAACCAGTGGAAGCAGTCTCCTGGGCCGAAGCGGTGTTGGTGGCCTTCGCAGCAGCAGCCGTCGCGGTATCAGCCTTGGCTGTCGCTGTGTTGCCCAGAAGAGTGTCGACGATGTTGGCAGCCGTGTTTGCGTTGGCCGTATTGGCGTTGGCCGTATTGGCGTTAGCCGTGTTGGCATTGGCCGTGTTAGCTTTCGCCGTATCAGCCGAGGCGGCAGCATCATTC